GCATGGCCAAGCTCTGATTTTGAACTCCAGGCGGTGTAAAGTCATTTTTTCCCTCTTTTAATTCTTACTTGTGGAATCTGTAGCAATAGGGATATCTTTCATCCTTCTTTCGTTGCACCACAAAGGGAAGTAATCAGAGTCTGAATTAGTAGCAAACCACCTCTACTACAGTAACTAGCAGAAAAATCAGTCAGACACCATTTCATGGTGAAAAGAAAGATATGTGTTTTACTCACAGCTTTCTGGAGATTTCACAAAGCATCAGAAGCTAGTAAAAAGGGTGGGGGACACATAAAAGAAGCAAAAAAGGTCAACTGGATTTCTTTCTCAGGCCACTTGGCTGAGAAAGTTCCATGCTGGAACTTATCCATCATAGTAACAATAACACTTCAGGGACTTAACTCAGAATTAAAAAATTAATAAAGCATGTTAATTAGGAAAAGCAAGAGGAGGGATCCTCTGAGCCCAGGAATTGGTCAGAGAGAGAAATAAACAAACAGGCATGTTAGTTTTCTCTATAGGGTTGGGTTTCATGCATGTTGTCACAAATCTTCAATATTGCTGTCTATCATGTTGTCTTCACAACAACCCGGTGAAGTGGTTCAGGCTGCGAAAGAGTGTAAGCGCAGTGTCTCAGCATGTGACAGCCAGCATCTCCCAATGAGTTTCATAACTTCTAGGAGTTTTGAACCTCAAGTGCCTAGCCATCTAATTCCTCTATCCCATGGCACTTGTTCCTTTACAACACGGCAGAAATAAGGTCCTGATTACCTGCCCTATCGGCAAAACTCCTCTTCCGCGCCTGGGTTTGCCTCCCAGCTAGATGATCGCCATCTTCTGTCTTGTGTTCTCGTCTCTCATCAGACTACTCCTTTCCAATCTATCCCGAATTCCAGGGTCAAAATCATTCATTTGTTTTGTTGCTCTGACAGAAGGAGGTCCATTCTTATATCCCTCCATTAGCAAGGACATGCTGATGGGAGTAGGCCGTTGGTGAAGGTTGGATGAATGATATGGTTTGTGCAAAAAAGAAAGAGAGAGAGGGACGTGTGTGTGAATTCTTGCCTAAAACATGTGGTGAGCTCCTGGAATAATGGGCTTAAAAAGCCAAAAAGATACGAGACCAATACCTAGCTTGCGACGGGATATTCAGTGGCTCCATGGTTCCGCATCAAAACTTCCACGTTCAAATCAACAGTGCGGCCTCATCTGGAGTTTTTAGTGTGTTGCATCTTATCCTTAACGGGAGTGGAGTGGAGGATACAGAAAGGGTGGTGATTCTGCAGACCACGGGGAAGCTGCCTGCCTGAACGCCTCTCCCTCAAAACGTCTGCCCATCCCACCTGCACCTTATATACGAGGATGCTATATGAGTAGCATTCCTGAGGGAGGGCCAGGAATCTGCTACCCGAAATTGGGCGTTTTCTGTCCCTTTCCCTTCTTCGTTTTGGGAGACAGATTGATACCTAGCTTCTCTCTCTCTCTCTCTCTCTCTCTGCTGCCTATGATTCTTCTATTCTCTATTGAATTTTTTTCTAAGCGTTTCTTTTTAGTGATGGTGATCCTGATTTTTATGTTTTTTTACCTTGTCTTATGTCAGCTTTATTATTGCTTCTGTGTGTTTATATTGTCATTTGTAGGCCAGTCAGTGGTCTTGCAACTTGGTTGGTTGGAGTCAATCAATCAATCAATCAATCAATCAATCAATCAATCAATCAATCAATCAATCAATCAATCAATCAATCAAATAACTGAGTCATGGTTAATATGCATCCCACCAAGGGTATTCTAACATGCAGTCCTCACTATCTGGAAGACTTACAAGTTGTCAGCTCCTCAGGCAAAGGCGGGTTTCATCCATAATATTATCAAGACCTAAGGAACATCACCCAAACGAAATTGTGACAGTGCAAACCGATCCCTAGTTTCGTTAATTATTTACTTTCTACAATTGGCACCATGGTGGCCATGCCATTTTAAAACTGCTGACTGATGTATCCTCGAAAGAGTGCCTAGAAGTTAACAAAAGGAGGCTTAATGGCCCCCTCACCACTTAGCGATGTTGTTCCTGATGGCCTTTGAAAGGTGCCATCCTTCACAGCTGGGGAGGGAATGGAAACCGAGAGTGTCAGAACTTGGGTTAAAGCAGACCTAGGAAGCTGCAGATCCAAGGAGTTGCAAAAGATGCTCCTTTTAAAGGAGCTTGCTTGTTTCCAGGAAGAGGTGCTCACACACGATTTCTGTAAATATATTATCAAGGCAAGACATCAAACATCTCTGGTGCTCTCCAACCTAAGTGGAAGAAAATCTTGTTAACAGCCGCCCCTGGGAATTTCTCATGCTCCCAGGGAACTTGAGTGGGTGCATAACTGCATATATATTTGATGTTTGGTTTAGGGCAGCAGCCTTAATTACATTAACACGAGGATTCAGAGTCATGCAGAGAAGCGGAATGGTGGGATATTCTGGATAGGAAAAAAAGAAAAGGAATTTTCAAAGAAACCAGCCATTGGCAAGCACCGATCCTTGCATTTTCCTGGATCCATGTGAGCCATGTCTTCGGACCCAGCATGACTGCAGTAAAAAATATATATATATCTGTTTTTCACACTAACACTCTCAGGAACTCCCATGGCCACTGGCCAAGCTAGCAGGGGGATCTTGGGAGTCACCGTTTGGAAGAAAAACTTTTCAAATCTCTGCTTCATCAAGGGGGACCGGTTCTTAGTGATACAAAGATGGGAATAGGAGATGGTGCCTACTGTATTTTGAGAAAGTTTCTCATGTGCATTTGGTTGGCTACTGTGGGAAGCTGGAATAGAAGGGCCTTGGGTCTGATCCAGAGAGGCTGCTGTTAACTCTTAATCAGTTTAATTGGGAGGTTAATTGATACCGGTGTCCACTGGAAGTCAGTTTTACTGCTTATATATTGCCCTGCAGTGCTTAAAACACTCTTTGGGCAGTTTACAACTCAATTATGCAGGCTACACATTCCCCTGATGCTTAATTGCTGATCTCAGAAGGATGGAAGGCTGAGTGAACCTCAAGCCGGCTACCTGGGATTGAACCAAGTACTGTAGCTGGGTTGTAAGTAGAGTCTTGGCTGCAATACTGCAGTTTAATCACTGTACTACAAGGCTCCTCCATGAACCCAGATCAAATCCATTGGGTTTTAGATTTTACAACGTACTGTACTTGTTTGTTTGTTTCACTGTGCACTGTTTAGCTTGGGGTATGTGTAAATACAATAATGAAAATATTAAGAGAGTGCTTTCCATATACCCAGGGATGTTACGTGGCATAAACTCACTGTGGGGAATTGCTGGCTTCATTACGAAGCAAGTGCCTGATTGTGCAACAGATGCGTCCTAAGTAACGCAACCACTGCTTTGTTGGTTAAAAGCATTTTAATAGGGTTGTGTGAGCCACGCTTTAAAATAAACCCTCAACGGGATTCCAGGCGATGTGCGATGGTTCTTGATCTTGTTCATTAATGTAGAAACCGCCTCCTCCGTCTTTCAAGATCTCAAGCAGGCAGAGGCTTTGGTTGTATAAAGAGGTCTTTAAATTTGATCTCTTGACTTAAACAGCTAAAGTCCAGATGACTGATCCGCTCGCTGTTGCTGTTTTAGTGGTTGATTGACCCAACTGTGTAGAAAAAATGGCCAGCTGAGCTTTGCTTTCAGTGTGCAGCTTAAAAATTATAAAGTAGCTCAGGCTTTTTTATTTCCCCCCTCTGCTGTACTTTAAATACTATGTACCCCTTTGGAAAGTTGGCCACTTTTTTGATCGGGCTTCGCCCCCCTCCCCAACTTCCTGTAGCAAGCACTATACAAATAAAACATTCGAATTGCTGCAGGATTCTGGGTGTCGCAGCCCAAAGCCCATCACTTTTCCAAACGCTCGCTCTCTTGCTGTACTGTTTTAGCCCCGCCCAGCTATCTGATGATGATTTCAATATTGGGCAGTATCCCCATTCTCAATGCACGAGATCCTGATAACCTCTACATGCTTTGAACTGCAGTTCCAAACATCTTTAGCCAGCATGATCAACAGCACTGAGGATGTGACCCTTGCTCTTCCCGTGGGCTTGTTTAAATAATGGCATTCTTTGTGTGTAAGTTATGTGCCATCAATACTGTGAGCCTAGCACAGTTTTCAAGGTGAGATTTTTAAGGAGGGTGTTTAGCCGTCCCACTCTCACCCCATGCGTCTTCATGGCCAAGCACAGATTTGAACCCACGTCTCCTGGTGAGCCCTAGTCTGTCACTCTAGTGAGTGTACTATATTGCATCTCGGCATCTTTTAGGAAGGCTGCCACAGAAGGGGGTTGGGCTGGAATAGTCCTATGCGAAACCTTACCAGTAACTATTTGCTATCAATATGGAGCAATCTTTTATTTCTCAACTCTTCTTCCTATCAAGAGAATTTATATCAGCGCTTAATGAAGTTACAATTTCAACCATTCTGGGGCTGGAGAGTTCTGGGAGGTAGAAAACTGATTCCGTGTATATCCTTCATAAATGAATGAGAGCTGGATGGATAGATAGCTCAGTAGGTTAGACATCTGACTGTGGAGCCAGAGGTTGGGGGTTCGATTTCCCCACTTTGCCTCCTGCAGGTAAAGCCAGCCTGTGTAGCCTTGGGCAAACTGCACAGTCCCAGGACTACCCAGGAGGAGGGAATGGGAAACTACTTCTGAGTACTCGCTACCAGAAAAAAATATTATTGTAAGTCAGAATGGACTTGATGGTACTTGATTATTATCATTATATCTTATTATTATATATGAATAAATCTCCCATTTATTTTAGGGACACACACATACACCATGGTTACTGCTACAACCAGAGTGGTAGAATATACCAGATGGGCAGGATATAAATTGAACAAACAAACAAACAAACAAACAAACAAGCAAACAAACAAATAAATACAACCATACTACAGCATTCTTCCTTTGAGACCTCATCTGACTCTTTTCTCCTTCTCTCTTGAAGGTAAATGTTGAAGACACTGTCGAAATGTTACCCAAGTCCCGGCGAGCGCTCACCATCCAAGAGATTGCAGCTCTCGCCCGCTCCTCCCTGCACGGTAAGGGACCGTGTGTGTGTGGTAATGCAGTTGAGGCTTTTATAGTGCCCTGCCTTGTTCACAGAATTTAAAAAGAAGTCTGCATGCATTTGCAACTCTCTGATGGGTAGTTTGGGGAACCCTCTGGTACAGGAACCTATAAGAGACAGGGACCAGAAACACAGACTGCCCTTGATGAACGAGGAATGACTCTTGTTCCTTGTTATGAATTTTGCTCTCAGATACCTAAGGGACTGAAGAGGCACACCGAGCATTGGTAGAAGAGGTGGAAAACTTTTTCTGATTGTTAATAGCAAGCCAAGATACTTTCTGTAAGGAGACAAGAGGCTAGAGAAGCCAACCCATCCACTCAGATTCTATGGCTTTCCTTTCGTCACTGTGGTGACTGCCAAATTTCTCCAGGAGAATTCCTGTCTTCTCTGGTTACCAGGATGAAGCTCATGCTATTAAAAATTGGCTCCCAGGGCAGGCATTTGAGATACCCAGTGGTGGACGGTCTATATGCCAATCTGCTCCTGGGGTACTTCACAAAAGGCTTTGTATCATCTGGTTGGATCATATTTCTGTCTGCACTAGCTGCTCCTAATTTTAGTGACCTTAAGCTCTGGGGTATTTTTCCATCCTGGTGAAGCTAGAGGAAGATAATGCTGGATTCTGGAACGCCTCCTAAGAGCTCATTCTTAGCCTGTGTTATATATTAAAGGAACCTGAACTGAGGAGGCATAGCTAGTACACAAGTTCAGTCTAGAGTTGCACTTGTCTGCAAATGTATTTCAGAGTCACTCCTGTAAAACTCAGTGGATGGTTCATAACACTTAGTAAGCAGATGTAAGATCATGTTGCAGATCTCACCCATATATACAGATTGGTATTGCAATGTTGTATAAGAGACATAGGGCAGTATCCTATTGCTAGTCCTGGTTAAAGTAGACTCACTGGTTAAAATCCTTGTGAACTAGAGTAGACACACTGAATCAGTGGGGATTTGGCGAGTCAGCACCTCTGTATGTTCTGTTGATTCCATGGGCCTACTCTAGTTGCAGTTTACTACCAGATTTCAGCCAAAGACTGTTAGCCTGATTAATCTCTGTATGCATACCACTCCCTGTAAGATTGGAGCCCACAGAGACCTCTGTTTCCTTCTTTAATAATGCTTTGCAGAGGTTGTTTGCATGTCTGAAAGAACCAAACTAAATCTCTCTCTCTCACACACACACACACATATACACACACTTTTGTGTTGGGAGTGTCTGTAATCTGTCATTTTGCACCTTGCTCTTCAGCTGAACACATCAACCCAGAGTGACCTCAACTGCAATAAAAAGACGGGGGAAAAGATCAAGGCCTGAGCTGTTAACATTTCAAAAGGAAGTCCTGGGTTTATTCTTTACTTCTCAGCAGCGAGGTTATTGTTAATAGCACACATAATTCCTTATGTTTCTTGTTTCCATAATCTGGTTGGATCATATTTCTGTCTGCACTAGCTGCTCCTAATTTTAGTGACCTTAAGCTCTGGGGTATTTTTCCATCCTGGTGAAGCTAGAGGAAGATAATGCTGGATTCTGGAACGCCTCCTAAGAGCTCATTCTTAGCCTGTGTTATATATTAAAGGAACCTGAACTGAGGAGGCATAGCTAGTACACAAGTTCAGTCTAGAGTTGCACTTGTCTGCAAATGTATTTCAGAGTCACTCCTGTAAAACTCAGTGGATGGTTCATAACACTTAGTAAGCAGATGTAAGATCATGTTGCAGATCTCACCCATATATACAGATTGGTATTGCAATGTTGTATAAGAGACATAGGGCAGTATCCTATTGCTAGTCCTGGTTAAAGTAGACTCACTGGTTAAAATCCTTGTGAACTAGAGTAGACACACTGAATCAGTGGGGATTTGGCGAGTCAGCGCCTCTGTAGTCCTGGGTTTATTCTTTACTTCTTGGCAGCGAGGTTACTGTTAATAGCACAAATAATTCCTTATGTTTCTTGTTTCCATGTGATGACCAACAGACTAGGAAAATGCAGGGGAAATACTGTTTGGTTCCCCCTGGTGACCAGTTCTGAGATTGCATCTGGGAAATGGGTGTAAAAAAAGGGAAAAAATTGTGCAATTCTGCTTTGATATAGACAAAAGAGTGGCATAAAAACAGGAAAAAATCCTGTCAACATTCCCGTAAAATACCTCAAAATCCCATTTAAAAGTGTCATTTGAAAGTAAGTAGGTGGTGGCTGTTGTGGGTTTTTGGGGCTCTTTGGCTGTGTTCTGAAGGTTGTTCTTCCTAACGTTTCGCCAGCCTCTGTCCTCTGAAGATGCCGGCCACAGAGACTGGCGAAACATTAGGAAGAACAACCTTCAGAACACATCCAAAGAGCCCGAAAAACCCACAACAACCATTAGATCCCGGCCGTGAAAGCCTTTGTGAATACATTAATTAGGTGGTCCTTGTTACACCTAAGTAGGTTCAGAGTTACTTTCTCTACCTAAGGAGTTACTCTGTAACTACTAGTTACACTATTCAAAATTAACAAGTTATAGGTAATTCCATTACTTAGTTATAAGTCACTACTTACAGGCTCTGCCAGAGATTGATTACAGGGCAATAAACCAAGTCTTCCAGAAGGGTTTTGTACCGCATGCCCGTTCACCTTGTGCATTGTAAAAACTATACCCATTTTTCACATTTCCCCCCACACAGTAGGTGCAGAGGTACGTCTGCTTTTGCTCTGCATGGGTAGCTGTGCAAAAAATAATATGTTTGCAATTTTCCAGTCTACAGAGCTCACCCAAAACATGAGTTCTCCAAGCGATGGACCAGTTAAACAAATCTTGCTGGCTGTTTCCATTTCACATAACTTGATTCCCATTAGTAGTAGGAAGGTGGGTCAACCAAGGGCAAGGTGCCCTAGCCAGAGACTTCAGAGTGAACAAATTCTCATGATACATTATCCTTGCAATGGTTAGGATACTCATTGGAAAATCTGCATGTGCAAAACTGTCAGAGCCTCTACAGAGCCTCGAATCTTATGCAACAACCAAGAAGCAAATGGAGCATTGGGAGGAAGGGAGGTGGGCTAATACCCCAACTCTGGCTTGTCTGTTGCCTGTTACATGACAGCTATCACTTCAGCCAAAAATGCCTGGGATTTCAAGCAGCAAACATTCCTTTTTTGGAGAGAGAAAGGCTATGCATTCCAAACGGCTCTCCCCCCTCCCTCCCTCCCCGGCTTGCACTTGTTAAATGAGACATTTGAATTTCAAACCAATTTTGTAGATCAGAGATACATGCCGCCGAAAGAAGTAACAAATTCCTGTGGTCGCAGTCAGACCCTATCAGATTCAAATAAATTATAGGATCCAAGTGGAGACTGCAGCCAAGAAATCAGATGAAGACTGAGACTCGAAAAGGCAGCCGTGGGGGAAAAAATAGAATAGATCATCAAGTGTATGGCTATGCCACTGTAGACCAAGATCAACCACACCCTTGTATTTCAAATCGCAATAGATGAGTGTGAAAACAGAACAGTGAAGAAAGATGATGGGGTGGTTGTGGCTTCTTTGGAGATGTGGTGCTGGATGAGAGCTTTGCTGATACCCTGGATTGGAATAAAGTGGGTCCTTGATGAAATCAAGCCTGAATACTCTCTCTCTAGAGTAACTGTTGGCCAGTGAAAAGGGTGCCTGTCTGCTTCCTCACTCCTCCCAGCGTTTAGAGAGTGGATTGGGAGACAGTCTTTGGACTGCCTGGTACTGTCCTGCCTGGACTGTATTTTCCCTGCCTTCCCTGAACCTTTCTTGACCTAAGAAAAAAAGAAACAAAATATCCCCCTCTAGTGCTCGAAGACGGAATAGCAGCTTCCCATTAGTTTCTATGGACGGAAAAGAGCAGATACGGATCAAATGGTTCTCAATGCATTCCTATGGGAAATGCAGATTTGACCTGAGAACTTTTTGACTTGAGAACCGCCTTCCAATACGGATTAAGTTCTCAAGTCAAGACCCCACTGTATTTCCAATCGCAATGGATGAGTGTGAAAACAGAACAGTGAAAAAAACTGACAGGGTGGGTGTGGCTTCTTTGGAGATGTGGTGCTGGATGAGAGCTTGTCTGATGCCCTGGATTGGAATAAAGTGGGATCCTTGATGAAATCAAGCCTGAATACTCTCTCTCTAGAGGCAAAAAGGTTGAAACGGTGGCTGTCTTACTTTGAGCACATCATGAGAACCGCGCCCCCTGTCCACTTCCTGGGTTAACGCCATTTGCTCTCTTGCAGGTATTTCACAGGTGGTGAAGGATCATGTGACCAAGCCCACGGCCATGGCCCAAGGCAGAGTGGCCCACCTCATTGAGTGGAAGGGTTGGTGCAAGCCCGTGGACTCGCCCATTGCCCTGGAAAGCACGTTCAACTCGTACTCGGACCTCAGCGAAGGAGAGCAGGAGGCCAGGTTTGCTGCAGGTGGGACTTGCGCAGGAGGGGAAACAAGGCAGCTGGAAGGGTGGCATCTTGTTGTGCATTGTGAGGGGTTTCTGTGGTGTGCAAACTGAGTGAAAAGATGTGCCTCCTTGGGAAAGTGGCCTTTGTTTTGAAGCTGTAGTCAAAAGCCATGCAAGCCAACATGGATTTGTGAGGAATAAATCCTGCCATACTCGTCTTATTTCGTTTTTTGATTGGGTAACCTATTGGTAGACAGTGGGAATGCTAGTAGACATAATTTAACTTGACTTCAGTAAACCTTTTGACAAAGTGTCTTGTGATATTCTCATTAACAAGCTAATTAGGTGTGGGCTGGATAGAACAACTATCTGGCGGATACACCGTTGGTTACAGAATTGTACTCAGAAAGTGCCTTTCAATGGCTCGTTTTCAAACTGGCAACAAGTGTAGTACCCCAAGGAAATTTCTGTGAGCAAGAAGGATCTTGGAATTGGTTATCAGTGACCCCCTTCTCAGATTAGGAGGAGGTCACAAGTGGGACACCAGAAGACTCAATCCTGGGCCTGGTGCTCTTCAACATTTTTATTAATGATTTCAGTGAAGGTGTGTGTGTGTGCGCGCGCGCATGTGCGCGTGTGCAGGGAATGCTTATCAAATTTGCATCTGACACAAAATTGCGTGGAATCATACCTTGGAAGACCGGGACAACATTCAAAAAGATCTCGATAGGCTTGACCACTGAGCTGAAAACAACAAAAGTGAAATTTAACATGGATAAATGCAAAATTCTGGGGCTAGTGAAGGTGTGTGTGTGTGCGCGCGCGCATGTGCGCGTGTGCAGGGAATGCTTATCAAATTTGCATCTGACACAAAATTGCGTGGAATCATACCTTGGAAGACCGGGACAACATTCAAAAAGATCTCGATAGGCGTGACCTCTGAGCTGAAAACAACAAAAGTGAAATTTAACATGGATAAGTGCAAAATTCTGGGGCTATGGGCATAGAACTTCCTAACTGTTTGAGCAGTATGACAACGGAACCAATTCCCTCTGCAAGTGGTGAAAACTCCAACGCTGGTGGCATTGAAGAAAAAAATTAGACAACCCTCTGTCATATATATTTTTGGTTTGGATTCCTGCACTGAGCCGGGGGTTGGACTGGATGGCCTTTTAGGCCCCTTCCAACGCCACTATTCTGTGATTCTGTGAGTAGCAACAACATTTTTTTTAAAAAAAATAATCACACCTTCCAACTCCACTATTCTGTGATTCTGTGAGTAGTAACAACAATTTTTTTAAAAAAAATAATCACGTTTCCAAGCTGTAACCCTGATTTGAAGGGTGGAGGAGCACACGTAGATGTGCAAAGGTAGACAACCAACCTGTTCGGATTGTCGCAGGTGAGTTGTCATGTTTCTGGGTGTTTGTTGGCAAAACTAGGCCCCGAGGATCACAGTTTCTTTGCTGAATTGCTGCAAAAATTATGGGGCCAGTGAGTCAGATTTGGAAAACAGAAGCACCGAGTGAAGGAGAGCTGCTTAACCCTTTTCCTTCCAGCTCCTTAGCCTCCCCCCAGTAAAACTCTTAACCCCCCCCCCAAAAAACCTCATCCAGGATTGCCAGTTCATGCTTGCTGCAGTATGAGTTAAAAGTGGCTGCAGTGGAAATGAGGGGGGCAGCAGGGGGAATGGCTTCTGGTCCACACATCTCAGAGATGTGCATTCCTAGAGGGGTGGAGGAAGGGATCTCTATTCTTTATAATCTGAGAACTATAGAGCTAGAAGGACCCTTAGAGATCATCTAGCCCATCCTTCAGACTAATTTCACTCAGGTGATGCCAGCTGGCTGATGGCTCCAGTGGACATTTATGGAATAGGCTGCGTCCAGTGGTGGCCGAGGCTGGAGGGTCAGGAGGAGGAGAAGAACGGCATCTGGTGTTTTGGGGAATTTTGCTAGTTTGGGGTTTTGTGTTGTATGTGTTGGGGCTAAAGACACAGTCGGGAAGTATTTCAGCATTGTTCTGATTGTAGCGGATGTTGTCTGGCTGTTTTATAAACATTTCTCTTCTAAGAGTGCAACTACACTGGCAAGAGAAATTGGAATTCTTTGGCTTTACTGCGGCTTGATTCTCTGTCGCTTTGATAGCTCTGTTTGGTTTAAGCGATGACATGGAGATCCTGGATTTCTTTTCTTGCCAGTGTCCACACTGGCCTTCGATTTGATGCCATTTGATATGTGCCCACAGCCCCCCTTCCTTTGATCTTGCCCACCTCACAATACCTAGCTTGCCTTTCATCTCTCTCTTTTTTGATCTGTGCCGAGGTGAATGAAACAAATAGCTACACACACAGGGAAAATCTGTTCATATCATTACAGCAGGGTGGGAAAATTCCAAATCCCAAGCAAAAAAAAAATAAATAAATAAAGGGGGGGTCAGGCTGATTTGCATTGGCCTCTGTGTTGTATGATCATTGAAAATGCTTCACATTCACCTCTTGCTAATTGTGGAGCAAATATCAAAGTATTTGTTGATGCAATCAGAGCCAAACTAACTGCTTGCTTAATTGAGGCTGTACTCCTCAATTAATAGTTAAGGATGAGGCCTGTTGGATACATGGCTTGCAACTCAACATATATCGGATCAGGGTCTGATCTCCCCAAGTTGCATCCAGACGAAGTCTGTGTCCCTCACGGGGGGGGGGGCGCTGGGATGTTTTCTATGTTTTTTAGGAAGGGTCAAAGCCAGGCTGACAAAGAAGGGCCTGGGTTAGAAGAGAAGGGCAGGGCTGTTGACCCCAAAGGTCATCTGAATGCAACAGTCTTGGCATAACCCAAGCGGCAGGCTGGAGCGTGGATTAAATGGAGGCAAGCTAAGCGACGGCACGCATAGCAGACACCCCTCACCCCCCCAGGCATTGCCTACTATGTATCCTGGCTCAGCTCTTAGGCTAATATTTCACAGCTATGTGCCAACCCTCATACCTGCTTGCACTCCGAAGCTGCTTCTTGTGGATGATTCTTAGTGGCAGTCTTTGTCTCTAGTCTAAGTGAAACCTCAATACAGACTGCTCGGCTTTGATCCAATTCAGCTCTTGTTCTGTTGACCTCTGTGCTCCCTCTGTGCCCTCAGACTTCTACTCCTTCTTCTGATTTACGCCCTGTAAAATTGTTGAGGCAGAGACTTATTTGGGTGGCTTGTTCAGCATATCCTGTACCATCCCCAGCGACACTGACAACAAGCCGCAGTGTAACTGACAAATAATGACAAGTGAGACCTACCACAAAATGTTGGAGCATGGAATATCCTGTTTCGGGGTCTGATCAGGCAGCCGACCATTCACCAGGTACTCCCTTCCCTTCCTCCTACACCATTCCTTTTCTGTTCCCCTGGAAGAGTAAACCAGCATTGAGTTGGTGGTTGATCAGCTGCTTAGTGCGATCAACACAGAATTTTGTAGCACTTCCAAGGTGAACAATTTTTGTTTGATTTCTGTTTTCGTGAGCTGCAGCCTGGTTCCTCGGATGCACAGAGAGAAGCCTCAGTAGAGAGACATTTATCTAGAAGCAGGTGCAGGAAATGTGGAAGGAACTCCAGTGGTGCCAGTATGGTGAATATTTTACTGGTGGCTATTAAGAATCCTCTTGGTAGGTGTACAACAGAGTCACAGGCCTATTGGTCTTTGCCTATGCTAGTGATTCTCAGCTTTCAATCCCTGTACATTTTGGACTTCAAGCTGCAGAAGGATTGACCACTGGCCATGCCACTGGTGCCTTCTGGGAATTAATAATAATAATAACAACAATTTTAAAAGCCTTTGTCCCTATTCAAGCCAAAGGAAGTAACACTGAATTTTTTGGTGTATTCTTCCTCCGTTGTTTCCCTTCTGAGCCTTTGAAATGGTTTGTTCAAGGATGGTCACCCTGCAGTCAGAGACTACGGGTGCAATCAGATGATGGTGCAACTTGTGTTTTGGGCAGCTTGCAATTCAAGCTCTTTTTTGGTGACCAGACAACATGCGGGCAATTGTGAGACAGCCCAACCCTGCTCCGTGTCCAGTCCGAACTATTTTGGTCCCGGGAGAGGGCTACTTTTTTTCTTTTTTGGAGCTAGGATGGAGAGATCCTGACCACAACATGTGTGCATGGCAGGGTCACACCTTTGTAGCATGATCCGTCTTGATTTCACCCTCCCTGTCTAAGAAAACTCAAATGTCCTCCCACAGGTGTTTGTATATTGTTGTTGTTTTCTCTTATTCGCAGTCCTCACCAACTGGTTTGGGTTTTGTTTCCTTCTCATTGTTATCCCCCCTCCCCTCCCCAAGGGTGTCTGTGCATTCTTCAGGGTATATGGGATTTTCTTTATGAAAACGAGACAGTCAGGAGGGCACAGAAGATAATGGGAACCCCCATAGCTAGAGCACCTCTCCAGAATATTTGGGGGGGGGCACTTTTCTTGCTGGTCTGTGTTTTGGGCTGGCATGTACCCTCTACATCTCTGGCCAGTGACCCTTGGGGGGGATGTTAGTGGTACAAAATTTGGAAGTTTGGCTCTGGGTGCAGGGGGGGATGTTAGTGGTACAAAATTTGGAAATTTGGCTCTGGTGTTTAGTCATTAAGTTGTGTCCAACTCTTGGTGACCCCATGGACCAGAGTACGCCAAGTCCTCCTGTCTTCCACTGCCTCCCGGAGTTGGGTCAAATGTTCATGTTGGTTGCTTGGATGACCCTGTCCAACCATCTCGTCCTCTGTCGTCCCCTTCTCCTCTTGCCTTCACACTTTCCCAACATCAGGGTCTTTTCCAGGGAGTCTTCTCTTATGAGATGGCCAAAGGATCTGTCCTTCCAGTGAGCACTCAGGGTTGATTTCCTTCAGAACGGATAGGTTTGTTCTCCTTGCAGTCCAGGGGACTCTCAAGAGTCTCCTCCAGCACCACAATTCAAAAGCATCAATTCTTCGGCGGTCAGCCTTCTTTATGGTCCAGCTCTCACTTCCATACATTGATACAGTATTGGCAAAACCA